TGTGAAAGCTAGCTACCTCATGGCGGGGTTCGGGTTCGGCACAGTCAGGAAGCACTGTGAGATGATCAGAGAGGCCCGTGCACAGAAGTAGCCCACCGCCCCACTTTCAAATGATGCGGCCAATGGCATACAACACCCGCTTCTCGAAAAGATAAAAAGGGAACCATTCTTCTGTTCGCAACTAGCCGAGTTCCCACCGCTGCTTTGCTGTTGGATTTAGTGTCTTTCTGCTGACACAGCAGACATGCTGTTTTGAGCAAAACTGGCACCGGAGCTGCAGCTCGGCATGTTTGGCTGCCTGCAGAAGACCTTGACCCGGAACCGCCTGGACAGGCAGAGCCATGTGAGCACAGTGGTGGTGCAGCATCAGTTACAGGCAGCAGCTCTAACTACTGGCAGGGAAATTTGATAGATATCTTCCTGAAGATACCAGGGAAGAATTCTGGACCCCTTTTCTGTGGATCCCACTGAAAATGGTGTTGCACATCCATAGAAATGATTCCATCCTATAGACCTGTGAGGTGCAGAACCAAACCAGCCGTTAAAATGATTCAAGCTACTTTCATGCAACAGGATTGTTTGGAAAACATAAATTTGGAGCTTTTAATACAAAGCTTGGAGGAATACAGTCTGGTTGCTTCAGTGACCACATCCAGTGGGCCTAACTCCCCCATCCAGTGGGCCTAACTCCCACTGTAAAGCTGTGCTAGGAGAAACTGGTATTCCTTTACATCAGGACCAACACCCTTCTGATATAAACTTCCAGTACTGCCAGGCATACCCGAGCAAAAGTGTATCAGAATCTTTATTTTTCAGGAGTTAGGGGGCTGCTCGAGTATGCCTGGCATACCCTAACCAAGCCCCACCCCACCCCACCCTGTCAGCCCTACACGGCCCTATGCACCACGACTTGGTTAGGGTGGGTTTCCATTAATGAGGCCCTAACACAGACAGGCCGGCCAGCCCATGATGTCATTATATATTCGGCCATCATGGAAACAACCTTGGTGTTTGACAAACCAACCTACCCCAACAACAGCTGCCCAAAGTGGCCCATGCCTGCCATAGGCGTGTCCCTCCATGTACACAACGCACAGCTCTCCCAGGAATCCCGGGTAAAGCGTGCTGACGGGATCGTCTCTTCCTTTAGCACTGCTGCTGCTCTGACCTCTGACCTTTCCCCGTGTGAAAGGTTATGTTTGACGTGTCATTTATTATCTTTGTGTTCACTTTCTCTTATCCTGCTTGCCTTTGTGCAGTAAACATTCTAACAGTCCGCGCTCCACCTTAGTCAAAATTTGTTATATCATTTTTATTTTATTTATTTATTTAATCAGGTGCTCATTAATAAACAATCTCGCACTTCAGTACAGATTGTAAATAAGCCAGATTCTAGCATAGTTGCTAATTTACATCTGTGGTCCTGAGGCAGGAAGACAAAACAACATAAGATCACACAATACAATATCAGTCAAGACACGTTCAAACAATGATATATATATAATGATATATATACATATAATGATATATATACAATAATAAAATCAGTGAGTGCATGACTGGGAACTTTTAAGAAACTGTTTAAGGTGCTTTTTAAATGTGCAGTAAGTGGGACATTCCCTGATGTTTGTTGGGAGGCGTTTCCAGAAGTTTCCCCCTCTGACTGATAGAACGGTTTGTCCAGAGGTTGTTCTTCTGTGGGGGGGGGCTCTGGGTCTCCTCTGGAAGAGTGTGCCAGGTCTAATGTAGGTAGAAAGTGGAGGTGGGGCTAATCCATTCAGAACTTTGTAAATTTAACAACTATTTTTATAATGAATAAAGTTTTCAAAATTGAGCATATTATATTTTTCAAAAATATTACACTGATGGAACGACAGGGGCTTTTGATAAAAGATTTTAAAAGATTTATTGAATAATATTTCTATTGGTTTTAAAGTTGTCTCCAGTGGGTGAGTAGGTTGTGATGCAGTAGTCTATGTGTGAAAATATCATCGAGTGTAGGAACATTTTAGAAGAACTGATTGTCATCGATGATCTGATTTGCTTAAAGTTACGTATATTAAATTTAATGGTGTTTGCAGTGATTTTGATGTGTTTTTTAAATGAAAGTGTTGTGTCCAGTGTGACCCAGAGGTACTTGAACTCTTCTACAAGCTCAAGTTCCACTCCCCCCAGGAACACACTGGACCGCTCAAGTTTTATGTTTTTTTTTGTAAACATCATAGAAACAGTTTTGTTTTTGTTCAATGACAGACATGACTGAAGGAGCCAGGGCTGTATGTTGTCCAGGGCTGATGTGAAGACGGATGATGCTTCCTGTATGCTTTTAGCAGGTTTAAAAATAACAGCATCATCAGCATACATTTGGAATTGGACATTTTGGCAAACATCTGGGAGGTCATTTATATATAGGGAGAACAATACTGGTCCCAGAATAGAACCTTGTGGAACCCCCGCTGGACATTCAATGGAGGATGACATAGTGCCACCAACACGAACAGATTGTTTTCTGTGGGATAGATAAGATTTAAACAAAGCTATGGCATCATCTGCGAAGTTGAAGTGAGTCAGTTTGGACAGAACTGCTTGATGGTCTACAGCAGGGATGTCAAAGTCAAACACACCGAGGGCCAAAAAAACAAATTTGCTACAAGCCGAGGGCCGGACTGGTTCAACGTTTATTAAAACATATCGAAACGATTGCACATAGACTATTGATCCAAGACCTAACACAGTGTATTCACACATATTCACAATGATTAAATGAATATGGCAATATTTTGTTATGGCTCTGTCGGTAACTTTAAGGGAAAACATTTTCAACAGCCAAACAGCAAAAAATGTAATTGTTTTTAAAAACAAAATGTGTTTCTTAATATCAAGATAAATGCATAAATAAAAGTGCATGCATTATAAACTGAAAATGTATTATTGGGCTGCTCTATGATCTACTGATCACTGCTTTCAAATAGTAAAATTTAAAAAATAAACCAAATCAGTTGTGTTCTTTCTCATGGCTCTTATCTGCAATTTTCCCTGAGTCCATTCTAAATAAATATAAATAAATAAAATACAAAAATGTATGGCACAATAAAGCTAGCCTTGACCGCAGCCTCACTGTGTGATTTAGCATATGTGAACATAGCCTGTCTGGACTGAAGGGCTCGTTTTAATTCTTCCACCTGTAGCTTTTGTTCATATTCCATATTCTTGTCTTTGTCTGTGTGTTTCTTAGACGTTTGATAGTGCCTTCTTAAATTAAATTCTTTCATTACAGCCACACTTTCTCCACACAGAAGACACACAGGTTTGCTTTTTACCTCCGTAAACATGTCCTCTGCCTCCCACCTGGCCTGAAACCCCCTGTTCTCAGCGTCCACCTTACTTTTAGTCATTTTTGAGGAGTGAATGAAGCTGTTTGTGCGGCTGCAGTGACTTCGCGGGCTACCGTTGCATTGTTGGAAATGTAGTGTTGGTGCGTGCAAAACACCGGCGGGCGGCTGTGGCCTGCGGGCCGGTTCTAATAATAATTAAATATCATCCAGGGGGCCATAGATAATCAATTCCCGGGCCGGATCTGGCCCGCGGGCCTTGACTTTCCTTTGACTTTGTCTACAGTATCAAACGCCTTCTTGAAATCCAAAAAGACTGCCCCAACACAGGCGGTTTTATCAAGCAAGGACTTCACTGTTTCTATGAAGACACAGTTTGCCGTCTGTGGAGCGGTACTGGTGAAACCCAAATTGCATGGGGTGCAGGAGAGAGCGGCCTCGGCTGAGGTGTTTGTTTAGCAGTTTGGAAACCCACTTCTCTGCAACCTTAGATACAACAGGGAGAATGCTGATGGGGCGATAGTTTGAAATATTTGTTTTGTCTCCTGATTTAAAAATTGGTGAGAATGTGGCCACCTTCCAGCCTGATGGGACAACTGCCAATCTGATTGATAAATTAATGAGATGTGTTATTGGGCATACCAGTGTATCTCTATGGATTTTTAAAAAGTGTGTGTCAAGGCCATACGCATCTTTGGCCTTTGAGGACTTCAGGGAGTTAATAATGTTGGCCACTTTCCTTTTTTTTTTAAAAAGGTTCTATGATTTCTTTTATTTTTTAGTTAAAAATCTGGGAGTAAAAAAAAAAAAAAAAAAATATTTTTATATATATTTATTTGGGAGTTTGCTTCAATATTATTATTAGAAAATAATGTAGACCAGTTTATTTCATTTAACATAATGTCAAGGGCCCTGCGATGGACTGGCGGACTGTCCAGGGTGTACCCTGCCTCTCGCCACTGGGATAGGCTCCAGTTCCCCCCGCGACCCCATCAGGGAATTAGCGGTATGGATAATGGATGGATGGAAGTACAATATTATGATCAGAAAGCCCTGTGATGAGGTTGTATGTTGTAATGATCCTCTCAGTATGGTTTGTAAATAGCAGATCTATTAGAGTTTCGGAGTGGCTTGTTATTCTGGTAGGATTTTTAATTATTTGTGTTAAATTAAAATAGTCTATTATTTGTTTAAGTGTTGTTCGTTCCTTCTTAACCATCCAATTAATGTTGAAATCACCCATTAAAATAATTTCTTTAGTTTTGTCACAATGTTTGAGTAGAAGTTTAAGTTGTTCATAAAAATCCGTTTTTGCAGTGGGCTTTCTATATAAACACACAATAATAAAATACATAGTTTTTGAGAGTGATATGTCAACACCTACACATTCTAAAGAAATTTCCCTTGGCGATTCAATCATCGTGCACTTTAGGGTGTTTCGGACATATATTACAACTCCCCCACCCCTCCCATTATCTGTGTCCTTTCTAAACACATTATACCCAGGCATATTTACAACAGCATCAGGTGAGGTATGGGTCAGCCACGTCTCTGGGAGTCCTAAAAAGTCAATGTAGGAACTGTGCAGCAGATGTTCCAGCTGTTCCCCCCGCAGCGCCGACTCCGCGCGCCCCCCAACCGGGCCATGAGCCCCCGGCAGCCCGAGGCATGGAGACCCCACAGAAGGACACGGAAGCCCCAGAGGCCACAGCCCAGGACGAGGACACTCCACAGGGCCCACAGCCAGAAGAGGTGGACTAAACAAGCGGTTTGGCAGTGACCAGATGTTTTGCACGCCACAACCATGTGACGCCGTCGTGTGTTCTGTAGCTTTTATGGTGTTAATTGTTGGTGGTGTTGGGCCTGGATTAAGTTCGATATCTCCAGCCAGAAGTAGAACAATCACCCACTGAGTAGAAATCACACTGTTGTCTGGTGAAGCTCTCTCAGACGCTTTGGATGGTCTTCTAGGAAGCCCATTGTTGAGAAGTTTGGAGTATAGAAGGTGGTGGCTCTTGATGGCTTGTGTGACTGAGCAGTTTTGGTTCTCTTGCAGAAAACAATGCTTGACAGACAGAATTGACAGTGTGGTAATATATAATATTATTCCCCAGCTCCGTAGTAAGCGTTCAGATGGTTGCTTAAGATATTTGGGTGGATTTAGTAGAGATTTTAGTAGAGAGCCCACAGCTCCTGCCAAACTATGCGTGCCACCAGCAGCCATCTTGGATCCTCCGATCACAAATGAGCCACAATGGCTGGAGACAGACGTCTCCCACCTGTCAGGCTGCAGCCTGCTGTTTATGTTTAGCAATGTATGGTTGTCAGAGAGACAGGATCAGCCTGGAGGGGATTTAGAGGACAGGAGGCAGCTGCATGTGTGTGCTATTCTCTTTTCTTTGAATTTCCTTTCCTATGTTTAGTTACAGGCAACTATATTAGAGATACTTTCCTGCTTATGTATACCTTGTCTTAACTTCTGGGTGGTTTACACTGCCTAAGGCTTCTGTAATGGTTCAGTTGTTCAGGCAGACTTTTAAAAAAAATGGATACTTTGTTGTATGAGCTGTGCTGTCATTCATTTAATAGCATTCTTTGTCTGGTGTTATGATGTTAATTCTGTTCACTTAATGTTATTCATGGAGTACCAAATTTAAAGAGTTGTCATGTCTAAGAACGTCATCATGGGAGGAAAGTCTGAAGCCTCATCTTAAAGGTAGAGGGGGGGTCTGCTTCCATAACCAGACTGGTTCTTCGGGGGGGGGGGTTCGGGGTCTGCTTCCTGAACCGTTCTGCTTTAAAACAGGACCCCCCAGTGGAGCTGCAGCCTGAGAGCACAGAGCTCTTGTATGAATATCGAGGCAGAAAAGTCTGACATTTTCAGCTATTTCTGTCTGTAAGTGCTCCAGGAGTGGTCAATTAAGGGTGGTCAGGAAATGTACAGGTTGCTGTGCGGAACTGATTGTTTCTCTGCAGAAACCAAAGTCATGGAGCCACTGTTAAACAGACCTGCGTGGTCTCCTTACAAATGAAGAGATCCACACCCTTCAGTTTCAGATCAGATCAGAGAAGATCCTCCAGTCCAGGTGGCCGGCTCTTTGACGGTCACCCACAACATGCTGCTCCTCGTACTCGGAAAGTTGATGGGACTGTCTGAAGCCGTTCACACACTGTGCGATATTTCCAATCATTACACGTAGCTCCAGCTCAAACTGCACGACCACATCGTAGGGGTTAAAAGTTTGCAGATTCATGTTCTCACACTATACGGCCTGATGCTCTCATGCGATCTGACCGCTCACATCGTAGGTCCGAAACGCAGGTCGGACTTGAAATAGAAGACGAAGAAGACAAAGTCAAACAACACAGAAGGAACATGAGGGTCACCAGAGCTAAAATTTGCGTGTATCTGGTAACTTTAATTGTGCAGCAATCTCCCCCAACTACTCTCTCCTACATTTGGGTCCTGATGATGCTGGAGGCCAGGTGGAACCGGCGGGCTGAGCCGGCCAGAGCTCCACAAGTTGTGCTTCCATTCTTTGATTCCTAGACACAGGAACGGCTGCCCTGATACTCAGAGTCACTTCCACTTCTGTGTTTGCGCGAGCGCAGTGCCAGAGATGGAGGGGAATCGGGTCGTAGACGCTGGTAACATGGCTTCACTGACACGGTTCCCACACGAGGGCCGACCAGAAACTCAAACCGGTTTGATTTTCATCCGACCCGCCGATTGTCGCTGGGGAAGTGGTCGTGACAGGTTAATGGCTTCTCGTTAGCCTGTGAATACTACACCATGTGAGACGCACGAGTGAGCTCAAACTCGGCCCGATCCAAGAAATTCTCGCACGAGTGAAAAATCATGTCTAAAAGGGGCAAAAATCCCCAGCTGCTCTTTATCCAGCTTGAGAATGAATTTCAATCCATACGTCTTTAATTCCTGCAGGGAATCCATACTCCTTCAGCATTGGTTTTTGTTATTGGGTGCAACAGAGTGAATGAGGCACTTGTGACGTGTCAGGTCATTTGGTGTGGCACATTCTGTGCTTTACCCTGACGTCTTTTTATAGTGCCCCTCATGGCTACACACACCTGTCTCAGCCTCTGTGGTTGGAATTTGAAATGTGTAGAGAAAGAAAACAACCTCCCTCATAAACCCTCCCTGCTTTCAGAAACCACAGAACCGTTTCATCCTGTCCTATGGGGCCTCAGCTTCAGTCTGTGGCCCTTTGCTCTTGGTGGTCAGGAGGAGTAGGTCCTCCTGACAGTTAAGAGGCTTTGGGCAGACTCCATCTGGGCCTGCAGGCCTCTGACTGAGGTGTCCTGGGCCGGGTGGCCAGAGGAAGGGAGCCTCTCAGGTTGTGGCAGGAGGGATGTCGCTGACATTCACAGTGGGGGTGCTTCAGGGTACTGGCTCTGTCTCTTAGCAACGGTGTCATGGATAGTGCCACACAGCGCTGTTGGGGACGCACTCGGTGGAATGGAAACAACAATGACGGCTGTCCCCGCCCAGAATAAACCCCAACAATCCATCCCGTTTGGTAGCATAAATGCTGGAAACAGAGAAGAGAAGCCTCTGTAGGTTAACCTCCTGGGGAATACAGTGATTTGGTCCTCCTAAAATCCAATCCAGTCTCTTTCAGGGAACACATGCTTCAAAAGTGAAGACGATAGCACGAAGTACGACTGTAGTAGAGTGTTGCTCAAAGCCTCCTGGACACTAAAACAGACAGTCAGACATAAATGGTAGGTTATGGGATGTAAAAACATGCTTGTGGGCGACTCGCTGCGCTCTGTGTTATTTCCAAGCTAGGCTTCCAGGCTACACAGCTAGAAGCAAATACACAGGCTGAAACATCTGACAGAGAGAGGAGACTAATCTAGACCCTTCATTCAAGTGTGGCGACAAATTGCAGTGAAACCAGTGTGGCCAGAGGGCCTCTGACCGTTAGATGGCCACTAACATGACCACACTCACCCAGCTTCTAACAAACAAACTCCATATTCTGTGTTTTGCATTCATATGGCACAACCCGGTGCCTGATGCTTTATAGTCCAGTGTCTTTACTCCAGGCACAGTTCTTTTTACTTAGCTCAGTACATTATCATTTCCACCTGAGTAGCTGGTGGGCCTACTTTGTATTCCCTCTTTAGTCCAGCTCTCTCTGTCCCTCACAGTAACCACATGCCTCTCTCTTTCTCTGTCCTCTGTAGATCTGAGCTGACGCAGAGCCCCTGCTACCTTTAGAGGGACGAGACCACAGCTTCAGCCCCACAGACGCGCTTGTCCCTCACCATGCAGTCCTACATTCTTCTTCTCTCCACTTTCCTCCTGTCTATCCTCCCCGGCTGTTTCTCTCAGAGCGAGCTGGACCTGGTTGTCCAGACCCGTACCGGTCGAGTTCAGGGTATCCGCCAGCAGCTTCCAGACCGCAGCCACATCACCGCCTTCCTGGGCATCCCCTTCGCCGAGCCGCCGCTGGGCAAGCGCCGCTTCCGTCCTGCTGAGCCCAAGCGCCCCTGGACGGGGGTGTTCGAAGCCAACGCCTACCCCAACGCCTGTTACCAGTATGTGGACACGTCCCTGCCCGGGTTCCAGGGCGCTGAGATGTGGAATCCCAACACAGAGATGAGCGAGGACTGCCTGTACCTGAATGTGTGGGTGCCGTCCTCGCCCAAACCCCACAACCTGACGGTTATGGTGTGGATCTATGGTGGAGGTATGCTCTCAGGCACCTTACCACAGAGGTAGCCCAGATTTACAATGTTTTGAAACCTTCTGACAGTTTGTTTTTGGTGATATGGTGCTATTTTTGGACCTCCCTGTCCTTTGACAAAAAAAACTCCGGATCAGGGGGAGACTTACAGACCTGACCAGTGGGAGTGATTGTCCAAGGTGGGCCTCAAAGTGGCCGAAGATGAGGTAGTAAACAGGTTTATAAAAAGAGGTGTTGTTCCACAAAAACCTCTCCACAACTAATTGGACCAGCAGCCTGATTAAGAAACCAGACAAAAATCCATCCATGCATACATTTGCTTTTCCCACTTCTTGCAAGCATTTAGAAAAGAAATGATAAATCTCAGCATGGTCAGTGGAGATGTTCAGCGACCCTGAGGCAACGTCTGCCTGAGGCTTCTGCTGTAAAGTGACACTAGTGTAGTTGCTAAGCTAAACCACTCATGGAAGCCCCTCTGTGCCACAGCTAGTGTAGGTTCCTGCTCTAGTTCCCATCCTTTTCTGTTTGCGAACTCCTGTTTCCACTCTGTTGTCTTCTGTCTCAGTTGTTACAGTTCTCAGTAATTATGTCTCTCTCTCTAAAGGTTTTCTTTTTGATGCTCAGTGACTTTTTTACTTATTCAGTGTTTGTAAGATAAGAAACCATTTGCAGTGCATGTGGGGAAAAATAGCATCTTCCTTTGGCTGACAGGCTTTGGCTCTAGTTTGTGGGTTCAAAGCTTTCCAGTTGTGACTTTCCCAGTATGGACAAAGCAGTGGAGCTACTGTATATGCATCTGGGACATTAGAGTGAATTCAGCTGTTCGGTTCCTCTGAAGCATCTACTGAGAGTTTGAAAGGGAAAGTGAGAGCTAGACTTGGTTGAAGGCACCAAGAAGCACAGTGAATGCATTGGATCATCAAGTTTCACCATCAGGCAACAACTGAGCTCCGGATGTCAAAGTCAGGTGATGTAAGTGCTAACGGTCATAATAACAAGAGTTGTCCAGCTTAGAGACTGCAGTGCAGGAATGACATAGACAGCTGCTTGGCATTTTACAGCCAAAGACCAAAGAGGAGAGAGGAGCACTAGAAGGATGGGAGCAGGTACACTTAGCTTGACCACACCCTGCCAAATCCTCTGCTTTTTACAGGCTTTAATGGCCTTTCTTCAACAGTGGTTTGAACATTTTCAGGGTACTACAGTGGCTGCTCCTCGCTGGATGTGTATGACGGTCGCTACCTAGCTCACACTGAGACAGTCATCGTTGTGTCCATGAACTACCGGATCGGGGCCTTTGGCTTCCTGGCTCTGCACGGCACCTCTGAGGCTCCTGGGAATGTGGGTCTGCTTGACCAGAGAATGGCCCTACAGTGGGTGCAAGATAACATCCATTTCTTCGGTGGAAACCCAAAACAGGTCTATAAGTGTCCATTTTCTGACCTTTCCACACAATGAATTCATTTATTTATTTAATTTATTTTTATTTATTTGTTTATTTGATAGGGACATGTATGTTTCATAAATCATCTCACACACTACAACTTTTTAGCTAAGGCTAATTCTCAATGAATGTCCCCAGTTAGGCTTTTACACAAAACACAGTGACTGTACACAACAGAACAAATGACACACTAAAACATCACAGATACAGGTGAATAAAATGAAGCAATGTTTTTCCCGGTCCTTATGTCTCTTCCTGTGTCCCACAGGTGACTATCTTTGGAGAGAGTGCTGGTGGTGCTTCAGTAGGATTCCACCTGCTATCTCCAGACAGCAGGCCCACTTTTACAAGGGCCATTCTCCAGAGCGGGGTCCCCAACGGCCCCTGGGCCACAGTCAGTCCTGCCGAGGCCCGCAGACGGGCCACCCTGCTGGCTAAGCTGGTGGGCTGTAATGGAGGAAACGACACTGAACTGGTGGACTGCCTGCGGGGGAAACCACCACAGGAGCTGATCGACCAGGAGTGGCAGGTGATGCACACACCTCATTCTCTGTGGAGTCACACAGCATTCCTGTCACATACCCGCATACCCGTGTGGGTTTGGAAGCATAGGGGCCATAACACGGATTTTCCCATTAATTTGTGAGATGGAATGGACCATGTCTATAAGAGCAGTTCCTAGGTGATGCTCACATTTCTCTGTAGTGGCCCAGCTGGGTGCCTACTGGGTGCCTCCTGTCACAGGGTCAGTTTTTGGCTAATGCATATTCAGAACCCATCCCATCACCACCCCATCACTGCACCCCCTCAGAGACCCCAAGTGAAGCAGCAGGGCTTCACTGAGATTGTGGGATTTCAATCAATCAGCATAAAGTTCAAAAGTCGATGCTCTGTGCACACAAAACACAGCATGGAGTCGACACTTTATTCACCAGAAGAGCAGCTGCTATCATCAGCAGTGAAACTTACTGACACCCAAATAATGTGGATGTCAGTAACAAACTCAGTGAGATTTATTTACTGACTGCTTCAGTCAGATCATTCAGAGGTTATTTACTCAAACTGTATTCCTTAAAGCCTGAACAAAAGGGCCTTCTTCTTGGATCTTGAAGACATTTCACCTCTCACCTGCCTCTAAATTAGTTGGTGAGCAGCGTCCAGAGATGGTCACCAGAGCAGTGTGTGGGTTCTTTGAACCATTTTCCTGACTGAATGGTTGTGAAACCACCTGAAAGTGAGACTGGGTGATACCTGAGTCCCTCCGTTCAAAGATGGCTTCCTTTCCTCTTCTGTGAGGAAAGGTATGTCCATATTCTGGCCAAAGTCCCTCTTCTGATGAGAGTCTCTCATCTGAAACAGTATTTTACTGAAACAGTATTTTTCAGATGAGAGGTAAAATATTTTCAAGATTTGAGGAGTCTAGTTTCCTGTGCTCAGACTGCTGGATTCCAGTCACTGCTTCCACTGAGCTGTGATCAGGTTCAGTAATTCCCGTAGGAACAACTGCTCTGCTCTAAACGCGTTCTGGAACAGAATCATTTCCTCCAATGATTATGATATATTCCTGTTTGTGGCTCTGTTCTCTTGGAACTAAATCTGCTAAGTGGGAAGACTGAGAGGTGTTTTATGTGTCTGCCTGTCCACTGGAATCCATTCCGATCAACTCATGAGCCTGTGTGGACTTTGTGCTCTGGACAGGTGTTGCCGTGGTCGGCTCTGTTCCGGTTCTCATTCGTTCCTGTAGTGGATGGGGAATTTCTGCCTGACACCCCCGAGGCTATGCTCAACTCGGGCAACTTTAAGGACACTCAGATCCTGCTCGGGGTCAACCAGGACGAGGGCTCCTACTTCCTGCTGTACGGAGCACCTGGCTTCAGCAAGGACAATGAGAGCCTCATCTCCAGAGACGACTTCCTGGAAGGTGAATGTGATGGAGCCGGGAGACTGAGGGGAATAAAGAACTCAGGGCAGACTAGAGCAAGGGAGAGGTTTGTGGTCTGAAAGAGAACAATCACTTAAAGGCCTTTTAAAAATGCATTCTAGATGGGATTCATGTGTCACTACCTACACTGCTGCTGAGAGAATAACAGTCCAGGCGTGGTGTTGGGTTTGGGTTTGACACGCACAGAGGTCAGAATAGATCAAAGAAAGCTTCTAACCCGATGCCCCTCTTCGTCTGGTGACTCACCAGAGAGAACCGTTTAAAGTTTAGGGCCATGATCTTACCTCCAGTCATAGCTTTGCATGTAAAACTTCATTTTACCCCCCAGGTGTCAAGCTGAGTGTGCCGCATGCCAATGACATTGGCCTGGAGGCGGTGGTGCTGCAGTACACAGACTGGATGGATGAGAACAACGGGGTGAAAAATCGGGACGCCATGGATGATATTGTGGGGGACCACAATGTCATTTGCCCGCTGGCCCATTTCGCCCGCTCTTACGCCCAGCGCCATGCTCTCAAGGCCAACGTGGGCGGGGCTGGCTTCAGCCCGATGAACAGTGCTGGGAACTCACAGGGTGAGACGCGGGGCACGCGGGCTGCTGTGCAGCCGGAGGGATGTTGCATTCAGGGGCAGTTTGGTTCCATCCATTTTCACTCATACAGCACCAGATCAGGACCCATCAAGCCTTCTCCAGCCACTTCACAGATACAGACCGCTTTAAGCTAATCGCAGTCCTCCAATTCATTCAGTTGTATCAATCATCCAATCAAATCCACTAAGTTTCATGAGTCATATTTCCTGATAAAGGAGACACACATTCTCTGATCCAGTCCCAGTCCTGAGCACGCTAAAGGCAACGGTGAGAAGAAAACACATTGTAACAGGAAGGTTATTGGTTGTGGTATCATCAGAACCACAACCAATAACCTTCTTTCTGGGGTTAAGCCCCGCCCAGCTGGGTGCCGGCACCAGCACCATGACACCAGGCCAGGGACGCCTGCTGAGAGAGAAACACAAGTTCATGACAGAGTTTCTTCACAACATGTAAAACACTGACTGCTGAGTAGAACAGATGAATGAACCTCTCACACACGCTCAGCCTCATGCTACCTGTACTGTGCTGTGTTGGGTAATAGCATTAGTGTTTCATACTCTATTGAACTTTGAATGTGTGTCGATCCCTATGTTCAGTGAACTTTTACTAATGACAGTAAAGACCCTAGCGTTATCTTAACTGCACATATTTTGTTCCCTTGCTCTTAAAGGAGGAGTGTACCTCTACCTGTTTGACCATCGGGCCTCCAATTTAGCCTGGCCAGAGTGGATGGGTGTGATCCATGGCTATGAAATCGAGTTCGTCTTTGGTTTGCCTCTGGAAAAGCGCCTTAATTACACCCTGGAAGAAGAGAAACTGAGTCGCCGCATGATGAGATATTGGGCCAACTTTGCACGGACAGGGTGAGGCATCAGAATGTTAAAAAATGAGCTACTTTAACTCGTGCACAGCAGTTTATTACCTTTAGGCACACACTGTGGTCTGTCGGTCAGTAATCCAGGTGGGTAAGCAGGCATGGGTCGGCCTGCTTTTTCCAGATGGTCTGTGGTCAGTGAGGGCAGATGGATGAGTTAGCTATGTAAAAAAAGTACTTTGTGCTCAGGCTGAGGCTGTCCAGGAGCCTTAGAATTCCATATAGCCGGTCCCCACAGGCCTCCACTACATTCAGGTCAAAGCTGGAGGACGGAGCGGGGGGGGGGGGGGGCTGTGCGTGTTCACATCAGCCTGGACCTCCCATCTCAACCACACAGAGTCTAGTCTGAGGAGCGTTCTGGAGCAGGCTGAGTCCTGCATACAGGCAGAGTCCAGAGGAGGGGGAGAGGAGCCCAACCCTCAGAGCTGAGGTCCAGCCACTGACCTGATTAGGTTTCACAAAGTCCTGCATCCAGCTCCAGTGAACTGAGAGATGCATTTGAGTTCAGTTTGGTTTATGTGTTCATGCCCTGTCTCCTTCATGTCTCCTGTTGTCCGGCCTCGTCCTGCTGCTCAGCAATCCCAACGAGGGGCTGCCGGACAGAGGCCGGCGCTGGCCCGTCTTCACGGTCAGCGAGCAGAAACACGTGGGCCTCAACACGGAACCGCTGAAGATCCACAAGGGTCTGCGCAACCAGATGTGCGCTTTCTGGAACCGCTTCCTCCCCCGCCTGCTCAACATCACCGGTAAACACTGCCCCCCCCCCCCTCTCCTCCAGTCCCGGGCCCGGGCCCTGGTCACCACGCTGACCGGGCCTGTCTGTGGGGAGCAGGTCCCACTCAGAGCTCATCCAGACACAGGTCAAAGGTCTCTGCTAACTAGCCTGATTTGTCTCTGCTCCTCCTCAGACAACATCGATGAGGCGGAGCGCCAGTGGAAGGTGGAGTTCCACCGCTGGTCCTCCTACATGATGCACTGGAAGAGCCAGTTTGACCACTACAGCAAGCAGGAGCGCTGCTCTGACCTCTGAGCAGATGAGCGGGGGGGGGGGGGGGGTGGGGGATAACACCGAGGACAGGTTATGGCCATTTCCCTCCATAGTCCTCTGTGGCGTCCGCCTTCTTTTTGCTGCTCTGTTTTACCACTCCCACAAACTCCAGCACTGTTCATCTTTATTTGTCTTATTTATTGTATTTATTGAGGCCATGCCCGGATTTGATGTGTGTCTGTGGAGGTTACAGGCTATGGAGGAAACTGGTCATAAGCTCAAAGGAATTGTAGAAATGTCTGACGTCAGTCATTACCTCGCACGCACGTGTGAGTGTGTGTGTGTGCATGTGTGTGTGTGTGTGTGTGTTGAACCCTGGTCAGTTTCTGGTAAACTTCTTTTCCCCATGATCATCTCATCTCTGGAGCTTGTGCTTTTGAAGCGTTCCTTTGTCCCGCCAGTATTTCTATGTCAGTACCGTGTTTCATGTGAGACAGCAGTCTGTAGTTTTTCCTTCCTGTCTTCTCATCCCTTCATCTTCCTCTTCCTCCCTGTCCGTTCAGTCTCACTCGCTCCATCTCTGTCTCTGACCTCAGCCTCTTCTCTTTGCAGTCCTTCCACCTCCTCTGCAGTGTCCAGAAGGCTCCTCCTTCCAGCTCCCTGTCCAGAATATCAGCCTACACACCCTTCCTTTTCCTGCTCATTCATCTTCCTCTCCATATTCCTCTCTAACGAGTCTCCACCCATCCTTGCTGTCTTTCATCATCTCTTGTCTCCTTTCCTGCTCTGTCTTGTTAGAACTCTCCGTTTCCCAGCCTTCGATTGCTGTTTCCACCCCTTCTTCCTTTTTGCTTATCCAATTTTTGCTTTCCTTCACATTTCTTATCGTTCTTTCCTCTCTCATGCACTTGCATCTCCACCCCCACCACTCCTATCTCCGCTCTGTCCCCCTGCTTTCTTGTTAGACTAATGGAGGCAGAGTAATTCACTCAGCAGCCAGATAATGTGACAGAGCGCTGGCTCAGCCTCTGGCCTGCATGGATTGATGGAAAATGGAAGAGAAAAGGTAGAGAGCCGAGGCTGTGAGAGAACTGAGGGGGAGGACTGGGGAGGCAGAAAGCAAGAGAGGAGGAGGAGGAGGAGATGTGATGGAGAGATGAAAAGGCATCTAGAGATGCCCGCTCTTATGTAACTGTGGAAAATCTGTGGGACTGTGCACTGCAGCGTGTGCACGTGGCACTGGTCATGTAACTGCCAGATTCTAGGTGGACAAACGGATAACAATAAACCACCTGGCCTGACTTTCAGTCAATGGGATGCTATTTTTCCCTCCACAGATATGAGCTTGATCCCACTTTATTTAGCAGCTTCAAACCAGTAAAGACAGAGCTGTTCGTGTGTCTGAGGCCCCACGCTTTTAAAGCTCCAGGAGGAGAAACCAAGTCCTGGGGGACGTTTGGGTCTCCAGAGAGGATCTTGTATGAGTTCCACATGTTATCTCATCACACAGTGTTTTCTGGTGTGTACGGGTTCTGGTTGGGTTGGTTCTGTCAGGCTGTATTTCAGCCCTGCATGTTCCATGTTTCACACAGAGATCATAGATCGTGTATTTATCACAGCAGAAAAAAATCCCTTTTTCTTTGTTAACTTCACAGGGGAATGAGATTCCCTCCATCGTCTGACCATCTCATAAAGTGTCGCTCCCCCTGAGTGTGCTGGTTCGTCCTTTGTGTGTCTGCCAGTTCAAAGTTGGCCTCTTTGAGTGTGTGTGGATCCAGCTTGGGGTTAGGACTGGGCTTAAGGGTTCCAATTATGTTACGATTAGTGAAGTGAATGCCTGTCCCCACAGGGATAGTGTAGCAGACGTGTTTGTGTGTACTATTACTGTCAGTGCCCTCGTTTGCTGAGGCTTACCCTGCAAAGCGTCTCTGTTGGCATGTGAAGCTCCTATTTATGGCTCAGAGCTGTGTAGCCTAGCTTTAAAAAGAACTATATGTGAAAAAATGGATTGTAGCGTGTATCTATAAAAAGGGAGGAGTGCATGTGTGACGGCTGAGTGGCGGCCCCTGCAGCTCCGCTCCTCCAGTGGAAACCCCGCTTATGCCCCGCCCCCTAACACTGCTGCATGTCCTGAGCTATGGTAGGCCAGACTTTTCCAAATGATCATCAAAACAGACACCACATGACCCACCGAGTGAACCTGGCAAATGTTCGCTGGTGGCAGTGCAGCTGTCCAGTGGTCAGTGCAGACCGGCGGGCCTTCAGAGGCCTGCCCCGGGACTTAGACTTAGACGGTACTTTATTGATCCCGGGAGAGCTGAGGGGAACCGTGGGATCTCAAAGCTTTTTATTTAGGGTTCCACCACAGAGCATCCCAAAGTGCTGCTGTCACCACCTTCTAAACGGTGATAACCTCAATAGTCTGACTATTGTCTTATGCTGTTTATGATTTTATCAGGGTGCCATCATCTCAATGTCCATCCTTTGATGTTGCAGAACGTCATCGCGTTAAAAACTGCATTTTTCCCAGTAAACAAATAATCTGAAGCACTTTGCTACAGCAAATCTCATTAGTTTGAATTCTTCCTTTTGTTTCTACATGGCCTTCTTCATGTTTGCACCTTTTATGAGAGATAAGAAGGTTTTTAAATGAAGATAAGATAAAAACCTGACAGAGCAGCTCACTGACTGAAAGACCAGCCCAATATCTGGTGTCTATTTTGGATAACGTTAGAAAGTGTATGGCCTTCTGTACCAACCTCCACCACCCTCAGTATATCCTGCCAAACTTAGACTGTTATTTTCTGTAAAGTTTGTACCGTTCAATAAACCTATTATCAAAAGAAGTCATATATATCTCTTGTTAGCAATGTTTGATGTTAGCAATAACTTAAAAACACATCAGTAGAGGAATATATTTGATATCTAAATGCAATGAAACTATAACGTGACAGAACAACAATGAGGTTTGAAAATTGTGTTTTAAAAGCAATATTACTCTGAGTGTAAACTGAACATGAGTGCCATAAGCTTTCTTCTTGTATTTTTCTGTTTGCTATGCTGCACCTTTGGGCCTCACTGTTGTGTGTCACAGTTACTGGTTCTGTCAGAAAGCTTCTGTAGCTTCCTAGTTTGTGGCTGTGTATCATGAATGCTGACTTGATAAAGCTATGAAACCGAAATAAAGATCCCCTGTTAAATCTGTCCCCTGGGGTCTTATTGGGTTGCATCAGGAAACACGAGCTGTGTGAACATGTCCCACACCGTCTGGACACACGACAACGGGACGTGTGGCACTGAAAACTATCTTCTCCGTTTAGTTTTACTCGTATACCAAAACAAACACACATTCATGAATGCACACACACTTTGACAGATGCAGTCCAAACAGCCAAGAGGGCT